GGTCTTCTCGGGTTTGCAGACGCAGCAGGGCTAGAATGAAAGTAGGGTCAATCGCTTGCGCTTGTTAGTTCGGCAGTATCGGGTCATACCTTAGGCTTCTCGGACTGGGCGGGCTGAGCGGGCGCTTGCTCGGGGGCAGCGGCGCTTTTTTCTGTAAATCATTGTATAAGCAAAGGTCAAGGTCTTGCTCTGATATGTAGGACTAGCGCATTGCGCAGGTATTCGGCCCGAATAGGTGGAAGAGGCATTGGGTCTTACCGTTTGAGGAACCGAAGAGCCAGGACATTGTGGGGGATGTGCAGATGTACTTGGTGAATATTTTAAGTAAACGAGAGACAGAAAAGGAGTGTTAAGAACGTCGTGAATAAGTCAAGTGCTTACAAGTGACCTCCAGGGCTGACACCATCGGACATTATTAATTATTAATCGCTCGTGCAGCGGAATTGGTCTCTATGTGGCGCCGTAGTTATTTTTTTTTGCCTATCAACAAACTTGCCTCTCCGGAGTCGCCTCCTCTTTTGCTACATTGACTTGTTTCGGTTTTTCCTTTCTATCCTTGGGTCTACTTGGGTCTCCTCCTTGCTGGGATATTATCTGCCATTGACCTCAGCCTCTCCCTATTTTATTTCTTTTTCTTATCTCAATATCCCACTTAAACAACTACCCCGCCATGGCCCCTCCCAAGGTCTTCTCACTCGAGGGCAGAGTCCTCAAGCTCGACACCGCAGAGGACATCAATGCACACATTCAGCCCTTGATTGACAACACTGACTACACTGAAATCCGTCTTGGAGGAAACACCCTAGGCATTGCCGCCTCCCAGCGCCTGGCCGAGGTCCTGCAGACCCAAAAGTGCCTCGAAGCTGCCTACCTCGACGACATCTTCACCGGTCGTCTCCTGACCGAAATCCCCACTGCTCTGAATTCGCTTCTGACTGCCATTCTCAAAATCTCGACCGTCCACACCGTGAATCTTAACGACAATGCTTTCGGTCTCAGGACTCAGGCCCCGCTTATCGAATTCCTCTCGCGCCACGTGCCCCTTCGTCACCTTATTCTGAACAACAATGGACTCGGTCCCGCTGCCGGATCTCAGGTTGCCGACGCGTTGTCAAAGCTGGCTGAGCGCAAGGAGGAAGCTCGCAACTGTGGCGAGGAGGTTGGGCTGCTGGAGAGCGTTGTCTGCGGACGAAACCGCTTGGAGAACGGCAGTATGGAGGCATGGGCTCGGGCCTACAAGGCCCACGCCGCCGGCCTGAAGTCAGTTAAGATGACACAGAACGGCATCCGGTCCGAGGGTATTTCTCACTTGTTGACCGAGGGTCTCTACCACGCGCATTCCCTGGAGGTTTTGGATCTGCAGGACAACACTTTCACCAACGTGGGCTCCACTGCTCTGTCAAACGCCTTGTCTGGCTGGCCATCTCTGCGCGAGCTCGGCGTCGGCGACTGTCTGCTCTCTGCCCGTGGTGGTGTGAAGGTTGCCCAGGCTCTGGCGGCAAACAACAACCCGAAGCTCCAGACACTGCGTCTTCAGTACAACGAGATGAAGGCGGAGGCTGTCAAGAGCTTCACCCATGCAGCCAAGACTGCACTTCCCAGCCTCCGTCGTGTCGAGCTCAACGGAAACATCTTCTCCGAGGAGGACCCTAACATTATTGTGCTGCGTGAGCTCTTGGAGGCTCGCCAGGAGGAACACGGTACCGACGAGGACCCCGAGGATAGCTGGGGTCTTGATGACTTGGATGAGCTCGAAGAGGAGGATTCGGAAGACGAGGATGAAGAAGAGGAGGAGGAGGAAGAGGAAGAGGCTAAGGCCGACAAGGACCTCAAGGATGCCGATTTCGCCGAGGCGGAGAAGGTGGCTCAGAGAGATGATAAGGACGTCGATGACCTGGCCGATGTGCTGGGCAAGACCGCTATCTAAACCTCTGGAGCTGTTGGATAATTGTCACCTCCATCAGTACTTGCCTTTCATCCGGAAGTATCATGGATCCAATGCCACGTTGATATCATCAATGACTGAGAATGCCGCGCCCTCAGCTTAATTAGAGCGTCCCCCTGGCCAACCATGGTCCTTTTCTGTGTCCACGGCCACTCACAAGCTTCGGGTATGAGGATCTGACTGACGACGCTTACGCTTTACCTTCAAAAAGACCCACATTTGTTATACCCCCAACCTACAATGATTCAACCCTAGTTGCACATAATCCCTTTGCTTTGATCCATATTCTGTTTACATAGCCATGGACGCTCCATGTTTTCTTTGGAGGATACACGACCATATAGATGGAATACATATCTGGACAAGCAGGACCATTCAAATAATTATCAATTTAGAAAAGTAAATAAATGTGTATACAAAGCTGCATCTAGAACGAAAAAAGAATTTCCGAAAATGGAACCAAAGGCTACCATACCCTAAGACAGTCCAAAGAATATCAGTAGAATGAAACAGTTGCCCTGTGGGCTAGGTTCAAGAAGAAAAGGCAACAACCTTACTCTACAGCAGAATCAGTAACCACTTCTTTCGTAGAAGCCAGCAAAAAACGGCATATTACTTTCAGGGCTTGAAGATCCAAGTGTTTCTACTCGTGAGTGGGCAACCAGAAACGGTTTAACGCCACATTTTAAGCGTCTCACTTACTAATAACAGCCCGGGTTACGCGTATCTACACATGCGGTTGATGCCGCCTACTTCTATCTCCTGTTGGTAGGAGTGGTGCCTGGTTCCTGCTGTCCACTGGTGATCCAAAACCCCATCCTTAGAGGGCAAGCCAGGGATTGCGGGGTTAAGGGTTTCCCTTTGAGTTATTGACATTAAGGTGGCACATTTGTGTAGCTGGAAATAAAAGAAGAGGGATAGAGGATATAAATTATACCTGTAACCAACTGATGAGTTAGGTGTCTCGATACGGCGGGAGGAAGCGAGACGTGCGAACTCAAGGATTCCCGAGAAGCTTGGCGCCAACTTCAAATATCGCAGCTCATCAAAATCGCTTTACCTCGTCGGCTTTGACATATCCCATCTACCATACCTGTCACTTCTGGCGCTTCTATTGCCGTCGCCTTTCCGCTCTTTGCTTTTGTTACAGCTCCCATTTTGCAACACTGTAGCGTCGACGCGACCGCAAAATATCCCTAAGTGAGTGTCCGCGCAAACCACCCCTCACTGCATCTTAATTTTGCGCAAGTACGCATTGATATGTCTGGCGCAATATGTATAACGGCTCTCGTGTCATTGTTTCCAAGCTTCCATGTCTGTTTTTGTCGAGTTTCCGAGAGCAAATGAGGGAGAAGGTGGACACGTGCAAATTAACAACGTACCACCCTATCCCGCATGAGTCTCTACGGTGGGGTATATTCAAAGCCATGTTTCGTGTGACGTTTGTCAAAAGTATCTGTGCTCCATGATTGTGATTTCAGAGGGACAAATGTGCTTGCCATTGTTCTGCAGAATGCGCCGGCATCCGGGGGCTTATAAAGACCCTGCGCTCAAAGCTTTTGATATGACATACTGACAGTTGTGGCTTATAGGTCGCCTAGAACTTTCTCAGCCAGTCCTCCATTGACCCCGTCAAGCACTCTCTAATCGCGTTATCCCCCTACCCCGCACAACATGGCGATGGACGCCAAAGAGATCGAAGCTAAGGCCAAGGCCTTGGGCAAAGCCGCGACATCGAACGAGTCTTCAGCTGTGATACTAGGCCTCCTAAAGGAGATCCAAACCGGAGTCCGGGCGACTGAAGACCTCCTCCGACAGACCCGCATCGGAATCATCGTCAACAAGTTCAAGCAAAGCAAGACCCCGGAAGTGGCACGGCTGTCCAGCGAGATCGTCTCCAAGTGGCGGACCGAGGTGAACAAGCAGAAGCAAGGTGGCGGTACAGCAGCCAGTCGGGGCTCGAGTTCTCCGCGGCCAGCGCAAAACGGTACAGGAGCATCCACCCCAGCGGCTGCTACACCCTCAGACAAGGCGTCGAAGCTCTCCGTGCCTCCGGATAAGCGAACCTGGAAGGCAGACGGAGCGGAGATCAATCATACCGGGAACCGAGTTCGTGACAGCTGCACGGGACTGATGTACGATGGACTGTGTGTTGGTTCGACCGAGTCTCCCAAGGTCGTTCTCTCGCGCGCCATTGCAGTGGAGGTTTCTGCCTATAAGTACCTGGGACCGGAGACGAAGGAGGAATACCGCACGAAGATCCGTAGTCTTTTCCAGAATCTGAAGAACAAGTCCAACCCGAAGTTGCGTGTGCGCGTTGTGGAGGGAGAAATTACCTCTGATCAGTTTGTGCGCATGACCCACGATGAGCTGCGCTCTGTTGAGCAACGTGAAGCGGATGCCAAGATTCAGAAGGAGAATATGGACAAGGCTATGGTTGCTCAGCAAGAACGCAGTATCAGTAAGAGTTTGCAGTGTGGCAAGTGTGGTCAGCGCAAGGTCACCTACACTGAGGCTCAGACTCGTGCGGCTGATGAACCGATGACTCTGTTCTGTACGTGTCTGAACTGTGGCAAGTCCTGGCGGCAGTGAGCTCAGACGTCCGATAGCTGCGGGAGCAGAAATGTATTATTCTTTGGGACTCGGTGTTTCTTCCTTTCTCCTTTTTGTTTCTTTTTTTTTCTTTATCGTGTTTTCATTCTTTCTAGCAAGCTTAGGCTATAAAAGCCGATGCTGGAGTTCTACCAGCCTCTGATTTATGTCTTCATCTCTACATCTGTTTCTCTTCGGGGACGAAGCTCATCTGGGCAAATGGATGGAAAACTCGTGAACTATCTATCAAAATCCCAAAATCGCAATATTCCAACATTCACATGATTGATCCCATCTCAACCACCTATATAATGGTTTGTTTTGATACTACTACATAAATCGTAGGTATCAACAAACATCAAAACGTCATATTTATGTCAGTACTTCCACCGCCTGATATCAAACCCGCATATATCCAATACCCCAACGCTGCATCTACATTTCCCAGCCAAAGGATTCCAATATGACCACACGCCCAGACCTCCTAAAACCAATCCACGCCCTCCTAGAAGCCCTAACAGACCCAACAACAACCCCCAACCAACTCCTCTCAACCTTCACAACTTCCCCAAAGCCTCTAGTCCACGAACATGGTCTCCCCCAGCTAGCTCCCTTCCTAGGCCGCCCATTCACCGGCCAAGATGGAATAGCAACTTACTTCAAGCTCCTCTCCTCTCTCCTCTCCATCAAGAACATGGCCTTCGAGCCCGAGGAGAGCTGGGTGGTTGACGAGAGCTGCATGGCTGTTTCGCTGCGCGGGACGGCGACGTTCGTCTGGAAGGAGTCACGGCAGGCGTGGGATGAGACGTTCGTTTATCGCATTAAGCTTGCTGTTGATGGTGGCGGTGGTCGGTCTGGGGAGGGGAGGTTGGCGGTTTGCGAGTATCAAGTTTGGGCGGATACTGGGGCTGCCTATCTTGCTAGGCTTGGGAGATTGGGGGATTTGATGGAATCTGGGAGTGGTGGTGAGGGGATTTATGTTGATTTTGATGAGAATCGGACAGGGTAGGAAGATATATATATCAGCCGAAAGCCAGCACATACAGTATTGGAAACAGTGCCAATTATGAGGAGAGTCTTATTATTTGGGAGATTTTTCTAGGTAGGTCCAGTTGTTGTCTTATGTACACATCAAATCTCTGTCGTTCTCGCGAGATTATTCTATTAGATCAGAGTCAGCCCTCGAGTCTATCCCTCAAAAACGCTATGGTTAAGCTCAACCCCCATATCCTTAGCCATAGTCTGCATCTGAGCCTCAATCTCATCCTCCATACCACCACCCAGCTTCAAGAACTGGCGCACCTTGGTGAAATAAAAGAAGATATCAGAAGTAAATAGCACCGCACGGAAGATGAAATGGCGACCGAGATTACGGATCTTCTCGGCCAGCGGCAGATCCGGCGCCTCGACAAGCGCACGCGAAGCCCAGATACCAGTAATCTTAACACGGTTCACCGGCGAGCCCAGGAACTGATTATTTCCCTGCACGATGCGCAGGTTGCGACCGATGAAGATCAGCTCCTGTGGCCACTTGGTTTCATCACCTAGCATCTCCCGGGTCGCCTGGCGCATCCTCTGCTGCATCTCGAAGTGTCGCTGCGCACGTTCCGACTTGCTCAGTCCCTGGATACCGCGCTGCGTAGACATGTCTCCGCCGCTGTAGGGTCGCATCAATGTTGCTGACGCGAAGAAATCCGGGTTGTTCACGCCCCAGCTCTTGACAATCTCGCCCATTGTGTGATTGTCGAAGGTGAGGAGGGCTTTCCAGAACCGCGCGTATTGGTGTCGGAATCCGGGCTCCATGTGGATATATAGGCCGTGATCGATCAGAACCAGCTCTGGCTTTCCGGACGGCTTGCGGCGGATGAAGATGTTGCCCGGGTGCGGATCGCAGTGGACGTATCCCCACAGGAACATCTGGGCAGAGAACAGGTCTACCATAGTTGTCATTACGTCCTTGAGTGACAGTCCCAGTCCACCGCGGTTGTTCTGGCCTCGCCAGTAATCGCGAACCGGCTTGGTTCTCGACGTGCGCAGGCTTTCTTTCGCAGAACTATCCGCCGGCTGGTCAAGCGGTGTTCCGTGACAGCCTGGGCTTCCCTGGCCCGAGCCGCCGCGCCAGGACCGCGTGATAGCGTCTTTGTCCCAGAGCCGTACGCCTTCGATCCATTCGGCAGTCATGACGCGCTTCGAACTCAGTTCACGGTATATACGGGGGATGTACACGCGATCGCGCAGACGTGGTTCAGCGGCCACTAGATTGGCCATGTTTTCCGAGTTATCTGCTTCATTTACGAAGTCTGTTTCAAGCGATAGTCTCTCACTGATGTAGGGGACGAGACTGTAGAAAGGGATGTCGAACATCTTGCTGTAGATGTAGGTCACGACTCTTTTGGTTCTAATGTTAGCATAAGATCCTCTAGCAGTTCGAACTCGGACACAACTCACTTGAAAGCCCAGAGATCCCATTCCAATTGCTGCGCGATCTCCCGCTTTTGGATCTTAATCGCGACCTCTCTACCATCCTGCAGACGAGCCCAGTGAACCTGGGCAACACTGGCGCTAGCTCGGGCTTTACGTTCCATCACGCCTTTATCAGGGGCACCTGTAAACGAGATACCGAATACCTCCTCAGGCGACTTCCCGAAATCCTCACGGATGACCTTCTCGATATCCTTCCAGTCATTCTGGGGCGCATCGTCAAACATGCGCGAGAACATCTGCTGGAACTCGGGGGGTAGGATGGCAGATTGCATGGCGATCGCCTGGCCCATTTTCAGGTAAAGACCTCCATTATGCCTCAGCAGATCAGACAAGCGCTGTGCGTTGCGGGCGTGCACGGCAGCAATAGAGTTTGCCAGTGGTGGTTCTGGACGGAAGTTGATTTTGTAGTCAAGGGCGACGAAGAGACCGAGAGAAAAGGTGCGAGCTGTTCGGGTCAGCGATGAGGCGTAGAACTGGGTGTCGATGCCGTAGGCGACGCCTGTTGCTAGCGAGATGTAGAATATTCGGCGGAACCATTTGATGGTTCTTTTGTAGGTCTTTGCTTCCGTGGGTTTCCCCAGGGAGCTTGGTGACGGTGGAACGAAGGGTTGGAATTGGCTTGAGTGGGCATATCGGTGCGGACGCCATAATGAGGGACGGATGGCGGGCCGCAGAGAGCGGGAAAACATCGCGTGCGCCATTGGAAACGGAGAGGCGGATGCCCGAATCACTGCATGGTTGACAATCAAATCAAGTGTGATCTGATGTGTGGAAGAAAGGAGAGCTGCGAAGTGTCAGGTAAGCCATAGAGAATTTCGGCCTGTCGTCATCCACGGAATTTCCGCGCGTTATCTCCGTGCGGAGTCGGAGTCGGAGGTATTCAGCGATGTCCTTATATTAGCTACATGTACAATATTGCCCGATATAGAGTGAAGCCGGTATATATCTGATATTAATTAGAAATACACTATTTACAGTTAAATCCAGCTATAGATCACAATTCGTCATGGTCATTATGTCCCAAAGTATCGCACACTTTCGCGTAATCCCTCATGTTCTGAGGAATCGTAATATCCCACAGCTCATCACTCTCCAAGAATCTAAGCTGCTCCTTGCACGATTCCTCCGATGCCATCGGAATCAAAATAGAAAGATGTTTGATCGATGCCTTGAGGAAATTGCGCTTAAAGCAGTTGCCAAACCCAGCTAGAGTCTCCGAATCAGAGCAGATATGTACTCCGCCACCCAGCAATGGTCCACAGCTTTGCTTGATGTTGATTGCAACATCGTCGCCCATCTTCAGCAGAGCCTCTTCCTTGTGGGGCACATTCATGCGCTGTATCAGGCTGCGCACGGCGGGGACAAAGGTGTTGTTGCGCGTCCATAGATCCCAGTGGGGAACGGTCGGCTGACATCCAGCGTCGCAGATTTCACTCTGGAATTTATCAAAGAGGTGGCCTGGTCGGCTAACCAGTGCGGAGACGACTTTGAAGCATGATGTGCCGATCGCTGTGACGGGGGAGAACAGCAAGACGAGGACCAAGAGGAAATATTCGCGTAAAATACGCATTGTGTGAGATGGTGAGGAAAATAAGATGAGAATAGAGAAAAGATCCAAGTTAACATCTTCCAATGTACCTGGTTTTGTCAGGGGAGGTGAATGTGATTCCCCCGCATTTGTGGAGAACTCGGAACTTCGTCATTCACTATTATTTTGATATTCACTGATATTATAGCTGCAAATGCATGATCCTTTCAGATATCTCCTATATCCCGCTTCTCCCTGGAAGTCACTGATTATAAATCTAGCGACGACTCTATGGAGCCCATAAACCTCGGAGAAGTCGACTCCCTCGAAGCGATTGTCATCATCGACAATGAGCTAGATCCTCTCTCGCCCCCAGCCCCGGATACCGTCCAAGTCTCGGGGAATCTGGGGGCAATTGCCATGCGCTCAAAGCATACATTGACAGACCGTGGGGAAGCCTGCAAGGAATTAAAGATGGAAGATGTCTGCTGCGCAGCACACGGCTTGTCGATTCTGGTGGTAAGGCGATGTTCTACCATTGGACCCTTGAATGCAGTTTCATATTAAGCTTGTCATATAGACTGCCACTAAAGGCGATAAAAAGCACTCTATTCTCTTCGATGCCGGTCCCGAAGAGGAGGCATGGGAGAGAAATGTGAAACGGCTGCGACCAGATCTTTCATCTGTGGAACTGATTCATCTATCGCATTGGCATCGAGATCACTCCGGTTTGTAGTTCCGGGCGAAAACGGACACATTGACGTGTATTGCCATCGATTGTTCTGATATTCGCGTAGGTGGTCTTCTGCGAGCGATCCGCATGATAAACGATGCCAAACAAGGCGAAGGCTGCTCTGAGGACCTGGTCGCGGACTTGCACCCAGACCGACCGGTCTACAGGGGCATCGCTCTAGCCGAGCATATCGTTTCCCTCGAGGCTGACCCTACGTTCGAGGAGATTGCAAGTGCGGGCGCAGTGGTCGACAAGCGGAGTGAACCACACACTGTACTTGATGATTTCTTTCTTGTCTCTGGGGAAATTCCACGAGTGACACCATACGAGACAGGCTTGAAGAATGCAGTACGATATGATCCTGATGAGGAGGACTGGTTCTCAGACGAAGTCATCATTGATGAACGTTCTCTCATCTGTAATCTCAAGGGTATGCATCCTACAGCCCGCTCAGAGGCTTACTGAACTAACATTTTCTGCAGGAAAAGGACTCGTTGTTTTTACCGGATGTAGCCACGCTGGTGTGGTGAACACCACCAAACACGCCGTCCAGCTCACCGGTGGAACCGTACCTGTCCATGCCGTTGTAGGCGGGTTTCACCTCGCCACAAGCGAGGCGGATCAAATCCAGGACACAGTAGCCGACCTCAAACGCCTTGATCCCGCCGTGCTTATGCCGGGTCACTGTTCCGGCTGGCGGGCCAAGTTTGCCATTGAGAAACACATACCCGGATCATTGGTACCCTGCACGGTAGGGTCAAAAATCACATTCTGATTCCTGCTATACTGGTTTCACTTGAAACCTTGATATTGGACGCAGGGTCTTGATGCAGACCCGAAACCGCATGACATGGGTTGCTAGGAGCAACGAGTCTCATCAAGGGGCTATCTCGTTATCTCGGCATAACTTCCAGGATTGTTATGTTGATCGGGGTTCGATTTCCGGCGTCACTCTATCTCCTTGCTGCATTTTCTTGCGATCGGGGGAATGCGGGATGGATTCGGATGACTGTTTTTAAACTTATGATAGTAAGCGTGGCAATCTAATAATAATGATGCTGAGACACGTAGAGCCAAGCCACATAGGCATTGATGCTTATAGGCCTAATTGTAGCGCCAGCTTCCACAGTGGTTTTGAACGATGTATGTCAGAAAGCCAATTGCAAGAATTGTAATGTACCCGTGGACACTTTCTTCAATTAAATAAGATATCGAGAAATTCAGACTGGATAAGATCTGTGGTTGAAGAATTGAATCGATATATATCCATGTTCAAAGGCAACTACACTAACAACATATATTTTCTTCAGATGTGCTGCAATTGAACAACAATTCCTCCTAGTTATATACTAAAAACTTTCAATATATATTCTTCAAGCCATACAAAGTTGATGTAGTCTCAACTATCCACTATAGTATCAAACCTCGATCCAATCCTACAAAATCAAATCAATTCCCATCTCCATGCCCATTTATCCGCTACCCACGCCAGAAAGCACAAAAGCACCTCACCATCTACAAAATAGTAAGATGCAGTGTAACCAAAGACAGCAACTACACCGACGGACGCCCGGGCAAGGTCAGCTGAACTAATCCTCCTCAGGCCTCTTGTGCATTGTTCTACAGCCAAGAGCAATGAGTAGTAAATATCTACCGAGCGATGAAGAGACAGCATGCATCCAGAAACAGTCAGTTCCCGTCTTGGCCGGATAAAATCCCTCAGCGGCATACGGAGTAGTAAGCCCAAGCATTGGCATCTCGACATGGAACAAATGCAAATACGCCCCAGACAGACAACACCGATAAGAAAAAAAACACGTCCCTAGATTCCGCACTGCTACATACTCATATTACTGATGTGCATTATCGAGTACTCTAAGTACAAGCATGCACACTGCCCCCGCCAAGACGCAGACACAACAAGCATTAGCAACAAGCACCCTTGCGCTCGTCGACTCCCTCTCCTCTCCACCCCGCCCCACGATGACCGCAACGCGACGTGATCGCGCACGCCGACGCAGAAAAAAAGGGGGTTGGTCAGAGGCCGAATGCTCGCCAAGACGATAATGCGGGAGGAAGGGATGCACGGCGTGGCTTGGCGTCGGTGGACAGGTACATGATGACGGTGATCAGCAGATCAAGGGAGGGGGGGGAAGGCAATTCCTCGCATTGTTCTGTGATAATAGAATAATTGACATCATTGAATGACTTTATCGGTATCATATCTATCATATTGTGCAAAGTAGACAGATGCCAAGGATATCTTTGAATAGTGTCTGTTTTCGTTTTGCCAAGAGTGATTGTCAGAGGAGACAGGGATGCGACGCCATCGGGATGATTTGCGCGCATTGATTTTTGAGACTTGTCGTTGGCACTGTACTCCATACCTGGTCGCTATTGCTAGTGCTAGTTTTTCTTCTGTTTGTGTTATCACTCGTGCCCAGATGTGATCTATACATGTGTGCTATCTGAAGTACGGAGTACAGAGCACGCTATATACCCTCCCGTCCCTTATGGGGTAAATCGTAAATCGTATTTGAAGGATGCAGGTCATCTAGACTCCGATCCATAGCGGACTATTGATAGCCCAAGACAATGGAGAACAAGGATGGCAGTCGATCACACCAGCTCAGCCCTCCAGTTCTCATTAATGGGCAATGCCGAGTATCAATACTGGCCAGCCAAGCAAGTCTAGTGAAACCGCAACAGTGAAACTCGAGCACCCATTGCTGTCGCTTTCTCCTGTCGGAGCTTGGCTGTGTCTTGTCCATCGACGATCACAGAGTCTAATTCCACATTGGTGACCAGATGGCACAAGATCAAAGCATTATTAATCCCACTCGACGAATGCTATCTATAGACAATAACATGCACGCCAGGCAGCATGGCGATCCCCCAGCATCCCCCACGAATCCATCCCTGGCTTGGCATGTCCGGACATGGTATCCCAGGACAAAGCTCGGTACGGAGTACGGAGTACACATGTATACGGTACGTGTATGACGTGGAATACAGCAACAAAGCCACATTGAAACAATGTTTGGGCCGTGTGCGGCCTCGACTGCGCCCGATATTTTCAGGTACCAGGTATGTTGGAGCAGAGATTGATAATCGCTGCTGGATGACCGGGACATTTAACGGTGGCTATGCAGATCTGCCGCCGCATGAATTGCAGAGATTATATTTCGTAGCCTAGCAGGCAGTCTCATAGATTGCTTCTAACAATAGAAAGATAGAGGGAATTGTAATAGCTATACGAAGCTCTCCATACTCCGTTGAGTAGTTCGTCACGTTCGTCGTCATTGCCTCGGATGGGGAAAACAAGGATCAAAACGGGTATGGTGAACAGCGCCGATCCCTACTAGCAGTGAGAGCCAGTCTGAGACGGAATACTGTAACGTTTAAGTCGGTGTGTACAGTGTAGTAGCACGCTCTTTCAATATTGTATACTATTATACCGATATCACACAGCCAAGAGGAATATCAATACATACAATTATTGAGACTAACGTGGCCGCAGCCGCACGGGGGAAGTGCATTGTCAACGGTTTTTGCGCACAGGGTACTACCAGTTCGGGATGTCCATAAGGTTTACAAGGCATACAAGGCATACATGACACACTATTGTAGGTTCACAGGGTACATACAAAGTATATTACCTTACCTCGACATACTAAAGAGAGTTAATTGTCAGATATGTACAGCTATGCCATACCCTTGCGTCACAGGGGAACAACAAAGTGACGCCATATCTCTACTGAGGTACATTATGTACTATTATTTGTTAGTTTTCCGATCTGGCTTTACGAAGTCGACAGATAGCACAGACCCTTCCCGACACCGGCCCAAGTCGCGCTAATGGTAAATAGTGTGCAACTACCCTATATGGGAAGCACTCCGTATTCTTGTCGCAAGCGCGGGAAATTATCCCTTTGTCTGTTGAAATACCAGTTGCCAGTTGGGAGGATCGCGTGTGTGGGGTTTGCGGTGTGTTCTCCTGACGATCACGACCAAAAGCGGAAGGCTAAAGCATGATCTGGTCTTTTGTGGATTTGTCGCGTATGTCGGCTAAGTCATCTGCTCTGTTGTTATAGGTGATTGGGGGGTGTTTATTCATTGCTTTTTTTGGGATAGTGTGGGGGCTATTCGGAGTAACTGTATGTTATTGATGTCTTGGAAGGGATCAGATGGAATGATTTGTACGTGATCACACGAGCTATTTGAGATAGAATATTGGTATAGAATATTGGTATAGGATATTGGTATAGGATATTGGTATAATATATATTTCCCCGTAGAACCCCCGTGGTCAATTTTAAAGACCGTTCAAAATTTAGATATGCAGCTATTACTAAAAGAGGTAAACCCCGAAGCTATAAGCTCCGAAGCTAGAGAGTCATCCAGGATGTTGAGCATTGTTCGTTTTTCGCTTTCCCCAGCGGACTGTGCGCATTGGGGGCTGTCTGTAAGTGATGACTTGGATCGATCGACACAGGGGTTTGCATGCAGCCAAGAGAAAGGAGTAAAGCATACGATCTCGAGATATAACGTACGATGCAGCCATAGTAGTAAGTATGGCTACGTATATCCACGATTGTTTGGTGAATAAGAGTTATTAGGTGTCAAGTTAATTTCCCGGGTATTAATTAGTGGCGTAGGAATTATCCATTTACAATGGATAAACAAAAGGGTAATTTACCCGGTCGGCAAAATAAGAGATGGGAGAAACATCAATGAAGTAGTATTGGCATTAAAATTGGGACATCTAACCCTACTACGGAGTACTAGACTGTGTATGTAGTTAGCCCTAGTACAATGGTTTGACGACACAAACTGTGCCGAGTTTCCCGTGCCGCGTCGCCCGAGTCGGACATTCGACACGGGATTCCCGATCTGCATCGGCGACAACCTTGGAAACATAAGCCAAGACCGAGAAGGGACCGATGGAATTCCTATCACTGATCCAGTCAAGGGAAAACAAGAAAAGGGCAAAAAAAAAAAGAGAGAACCAGCAACTACCTGCCTAAGGTGGTGTAGACCTCGGCATGCAGAGTCCTAAGCAAACTTGAACGGGCAATAGTCTGAAAAGCACAGACGGGGCGTTGATTCGATGGGGTTCGAATGAAAATTACAGAGAAGCTATGACCATCGGGCAAAAGGTACCGTTAATATATATCTCGATAGCCGCCGAAGTCTGGAGATAATCAAGGAGTAAGAGGATGAGGGATATTTTTATATTACCTAGAAGATTTTTGTGCAAAATTGTTTCAAAGTTCTAATGCAAAATACAAGTGAAAAGAAATAAAAAAAACATCCAAAAAGGCTTAAAGCTCACCTGCAGCGGGAACCACATGGCACTTTACCTAAATAGGACTTGGGGTGAGTCTACCCCCCGTGCACGGTAGATTTTCATTTCAACCCCCGTTTTTTTTTCTTTCTTTTTTTTCTTTCTTTTTTTTCTTTGTTTTTGAATTTCTGGGGTGAATTGAAAAAAAAAAGCTGGGACAAAGCTGGGACAACTTGGCGAACCGGGCTTCTAAGAGTTACGTTTAGGTACTTTTGCTTTTGCTTTCTAGATTATGCATTCTAGGCATTATGAGACAGATTGATCGTAGCGCTGGCAGAAGGACGGACCTCCGCGGACAGAAAATCTTACATCCGTCGAGAATTAATATGGTGAACCCTTGAAGCTAGAGTGACCAGAAAATGCCTCACGATCTTTCGGCAAAAGTCCTCTCGGAGGTAAGACTAATATCAAAAGAGGTATAGACTAGG